TCCTGGGATACACAGCAAACAACAAAGATCCTTCTCAACCAGGTAGAAGGTGAGGACCAACACCCGGGGGTGTCCTCTGACCTCCACATGTGCTCCATGGCCCATGCTCTCTCGCATTCTCACACATGAATACACACACACACACACACACACACACACACACACACACACATCACGTTTGAGAAAAGGAAAATGTCTAAAATATTCGAGAGAATGAGGAACTAAGAAATAAAGCACTTCCTGTGTAAGTGAAGTAGAGGAGCTGAGTTCGGATCCTCAGAGCTCATATAAAAGCCAGGCACTGTGCATCTGTAACCCCCGTTCTGCAGGAGGGTAGACGCAGGTAGATCCCCAGCTGATATAGCTGAATTGGTGAGCTCCGGGTTCAGTAAGAGACCCCGTCTCAAAAGATAAGGTAGAGGGCAACAGAGGAAGACACCTGACATCTCACAGGCATGAGAAAGTCCAGTGCAAAAAGCTTCGAATACAGAATGCGCCCAGATGGTCAACACAGGTAGTCTTTAAGCTCCAGAAGTCATTCCAGAATTCTGAGGAAAAGCTCTTAAATGATTCCTAAGTAGTCTCTGGTTTTGTTTTTTAAAAAGACCCACAAGCTATGCAGAAGTATGGCTGAGGATTCTATGCAGTCCCAAACCAACCCACTTCCCCATCAGATGTCTAGACCTCTGCAGGCAGCATGCAGACAGGGCTGAAAAGCAAGGCAGAAGCAGATGCCAATTAACAGAGACCCACAATGTGCACGGAGTAAAAGGCTGCGGAGTGCTTGGCCCTAAATGGGACATCTACATCACACTCCTCCCAAAGGCTCAGGGCGCGTCATAGAAGAGGAAGCAGAAAGATTGTAAGAGTCAGAGAGGATGGATGAATACAAGGAAACAGTATTTTCCAGATATAACTGGGCAGTTGCATATATGAACCCACAGCACTTGTGACAGCATACACGAGACCTGCTCAAGCCAGATAAAATCCTACAGGGAAGGAGATCGACAGAAAGCCCCAACCCTAGCAGAGGAATTATTAGCAATTGTCAGCTGCTTCGAGAGGGAGAATCAGTTTTCTTTAAGGGTGTGATGCTGGGTAGGTTGACCACGCTCCAGAGGTAAATGGACTCAACGGGACTTTTTTTTTAATTTCAGGACATGAGGGGAAGAAGGTAGGGAGGTTGGGGTAGATCTGAGGAGATGGGGATGTGGCTGAATATGATCAAAATACATTGCCTGGGATTCTCAAAGAATCAACAAAAATTCAGAGACAAGCTGAAATTATTTTTTAAAAACTATCCAAAGGAAAGGCGTGCTCTAGTGGTACTCCACTGTCCTTGGCATCTGAGTTATTCTGTACATCACTCATATCTTTTCATAAAGCAAGCTAGCGCTGAGAATTCCTAGGAACGTTGGTTTATTGTCCCTGAATCTCAAAGAGAGACATGCCAGGAATTTGAAAACACTGAGAAATTTGGTTGTTTTTTTTTTTCCTCTGTAGGTTAAAATTCTAAAATGTACCATTGTTGCTGAATAAATGTTTGTTTTTTTTAAATCTTTTTCCCAAAATTACATAGATAATCACAATGGTTTTAGGGGGAAAGAAAGAGAGAGGATGGAGAGGGGGGAGGGAAAAAGAAGAAAAAGAAGGAAGGAAGCGACAGAGGGAGGGAGGGAGGGAGGGAGGGAAAGAACTCACTTACTTGGGTGGGCTGGCAAGATGGTTTGGTGGTTAAAGCACTTGCCCCACAAGTATGATGACTGGAGTTCAGATTTCCAGAATGGGGGGGTATTCTTGCAGGCTGAGACACAGAGCAAGCTGGCTAATGAAACTAGCCCTATCAGGAGCTCTAGGTTTCATTGAGAGATCCTGCCTCATTGAATAAGGTAGAAGAATGATCAGGCTTCCACACGCACACTCCACATAGAAGTGCACACACACATGCAAAACATGCACACACACCAAAAAAAATGGAAAAAGAAAAAAAAAGGATTGCAAAAAATATGAAATTATCCTGACCCCAATGGGTAGTAAAAAGAATTTTATTTCTCCAAAATACTGGATGATGCTAAAAATTCTCTTAGCAAATAACATCTGATATAAGAAAAATATACTTTAAAAAAAAAAAAAAAACAGGGTCTCATTATGCGCCCAAGTTAACCTGCACCTGACAATCCTCCTGCCTCAGCTTCGTAAGGTGTGTACCACCAATGCCCAGGTGAGGAAAAATGTTTCTGATGCAACAGTGCTGTAAATGTGCTGAAGAGCAACTGAAAAGCTGAATGGTGGAGAAGAAACAGCGGCAAGTGAGAGCCCTTAAGCTCCCAACTCTCTCCACAGGATGCCTGCAAGGCTTCATCTGTTTAACTACAGACCGCCAATACTTACTACATGTCCCACACTGCCAAGTGCTTGACTAATATTAAATATCACCGAATCTTCAAAATCATTTAAGAAATGGGCACTGCCATCCCAACTTCATATTTTTTGTTTTTTCTGTGTGTGATGTACATGTGTGTGCACGTGTATGTGCTTGTGCATGTACATACAAAGTCCAGAGGTCAATGTGAGGTGTCTTCCTCTATCTCCACCTTTTTTTTTTTTGGAGACAGAGTCTCTCGCTGAACCTGGAACTTGCCCATTTGGCTAGACTGACCAGTGAGTTTAGTTCACTTGTTGCCACCTCCCAGCGACAAAGTTATAGGCACACCACATTGAGGTTTTTTTTGTCTTTTTTGTTGTTGTTTGTTTGTTTTTGGTCTTTTTGAAACAGGGTCTCCTTGTAGCCCCAGCTGGCCTGAAACTCACTATATAGACCAGGCTGGCCTTGAACGCACAGAGATCTGCCTGCCTCTTGCTCCTGAGTGCTGGGACCTGAACCCAGACCCTCATGCTTACAAAGTAAGTACTTTATTTACTAACCCATCTCCCCAGCCCAACACCCCCACTTTAGAGATAAGAAAACTGAGGCAGGGGCTAGAGAGATGGCTCAGGGTTTATGAGCACTGTCTGCTCTTGGAGAGGACCTGGGTTTGGTACCCAGCACCCACATGACTAACAACCATTCTTAATTCCAGTTCTAAGGAATCTGATGCCCTCTTCTGATCCCATGGGCATTGTACAACACAGGTGCACTTACATACATGCAAGCAATACACTCATACACATTATTAACTAATTTAATTAAAAAATAAAACTGAGGCAAAAAAATAGGCTAGAGAGCTGGGAAGATGGCTCAGTGTATCAGAACACTGTCTGTGCAAGCATGAGGACCTGGGTTCTATCCCCAGCACCCATTAAAAAGTGGGGCACGGCCGGGCGTGATGGTGCACACCTTTAATCCCAGCACTCAGGAGGCAGAGGCAGGAGGATCTTTGTATGTTCAAGGCCACCCTGGTCTACATAGTGACTCCAGGACAGCTGGGGCTACAGGGAGACCCTGTCTCAAAAAGACGGAAAAAAAAAAAAAAAAAAAAAAAGAGTGGGGCATAGCTGCACAGACCTGTCACCCCAACACGGTTGAGGTGGAGACAAGAAAATCAATGGGGCATCCTCCCCAGCCAGTCTAGCTGAAAGGGTGAGTTCCAGGTTCAGTGAGAGACCCTGTTTCAGGGGAACAAGGTAGGGAGTGGTAGAGGAAACCTGACATTCTCCTCTAGCATTCATGGGTACATACACCTGCACATACACCACATACACAATTTTTTTTGAAAAATAAGTTAGGCTGGGCAAGGTAACACATGCCTTTAAGCCTAGCACTTGGGAGACAGAGGCAGGTGGATCTCTGTGAGTTCAAGGCCAGCCTGGTCTACAAAGCAAGTTCCAGGTCAGTTGGGGCTACAGGGAGATCCTGTCTCAAAAAGACCAAAAAAATAAAAACCAAAACACAAAAAAGCTGGGCATGGTGGCACGTACCTTCAATCCCAGCACTTGGGGGCGCAGAGGCAAGTGACTGTCTGTGAGATTGAGGCCACCCTGGTTTACAGACTGAGCTCCAGGCTAGCTGGGGCTACAGGGAAACCCTGTCTCAAAGAAGAAAAAAAAGTTTTGAACATGCCCAAGTTTACACAGCTGGGAAGTGGCAGTCTGGCTCCTGATCTGACATTTTAAATCACTATGGTTAGTCTCCAATGCCCTGCAAAGAGTGCAAGGCTTCGCCAAAACTTTTAGTATTCCCCACACTAATTCCTACCTAGCCCCAGCTTACTCTTCCTCCCTCCAGAGTATCCTCTTAGTTGTTCCAAGTTCTTCCTCCTCTCTTACTCTGCCTGAATTCCTGCCTGCACCCTTATTTGCATTAGTCTTTTCTTATCAGTTTAAACGTTGCTGTATAAACTTCAAAGCCTAAAGACACTGCTTTGTGTCTGCTTCTCCTAACTAGGCTGTGAGTCTATTTTGCTCCTTAAGTATTTTCAATCACCGAAACCCCACCAATTAGTCCAAAGTAAGGGCCTGGCACATAGTAATGACCCAATAACTTTGTTGAATGAATGAACGAACGAATGATATGCGAGCCTTGCGTTTTTTCTTAGGCACACTTGTACTGGCAATGCCCCATCACCTGCTCCACAAACACTGCAGTCTGTATGTGGGGTACTGACTCTGTAAACAAACATCTCGGGGCCCAGGGACGTGTTATCTTCCTGTCATGGGCCTGAGTTTCAGATGCACAATGGGGGCATCATGACCAATCCCAACAAAACGTCGCAACCTACAAAGGAGGGAAAATTTGCACTTTTCCTAACCCACCAAAATTGTAGTCAGTACTTGCAACATGCCGGTCCTTCCAGAAAGCCAAGATCAAGCTGTTCTGCGCCAATACACCCAGTCACGGTACCCAGGTTCACATGCTCGGTAATTACGACTTAAACGAACCCCTCCCTACTCAGCGCAGTTCCCAGGTGCGAGGCTCCGGCGTCCAAGTGTATGACAGTTGCCCGCCTGCCACCTTGGCCCGGGACCCCCGCGCCCGCCCTGAGCCCCGCGCCCGAAGGGACCTCTTGCACAGAGAAGCATCTTCGCAGGTGCCGCGCACACCCTCGTCGTCTGTGTCGCAGCTGCTCGACAAGCAAGTAGAGAAACACGACTCCCTGGAGTGAGAGGCCATGGGCGTGGAACGTTCCGGGGTGCGGCGCCCACCAGGGACATGGAAGCGGGGGCGACAGGCAGCAGAGCAGCGCTGAGCCACACAGAGGAAAGGGCAGAGGGGCCGGGCTCCGACGCGCTCGACTGGCGCGGCTCAATGACGCCAACCGCGCGACGCCCTGCAACCTTCCAGCTGATTGGTTGTAGGCCTTGACGTTCATTAGACAAACCCCAACGCGTCATTCCACGGAGCTGCTCATTGGAAGACTCGTTCGGCTCCGCCCATACAAGACGGAAGTTTGGAAAAAGAACCAGGAAACTGAAAAGGGGCTCAGATTACCGCAATGCTTTCTGGGAACTGTAGTCTTAGGTGCTCCGGATTTACTTTCTGCTTTATTGCTAGTCAGGAAATTTTAGTCTATTAACTCAAGGCAGAAGAGCGAGCGAGATGCTTAGCACTAGGAAGGAGGGCAGAGAATCCATCCAGAAGAAAGTGTAAGGTGTTGAACTCTCTTTCGGGGCTCAGTGTCATTCAACAACTTAACAAATTTTAGGGCATATCAGGTTCGGTGTTGATGCCTTTGAGATGTTAGGAAGTGGCTGGGAAGTTCCCTTTCCCCTTCTTCTTCCCCTTCAGTGATACAGTGCTTTCCTAACATGCACAGGGTCATGGTCGTGTTCTCAGCAACGGAAGAAAAAATGTGAAGGAGAGACTTGTGAAAATTAGAATGGAAAATTGTGGGACTGAACTAGGGATACGAGGTACAAGCCTTCCTTGATAACTGAGAACAATGGATGTGTCTGTGAACGATGTTTTTACATGTTTATAAAGTTCAAACTGAACAGAGTGGGGAGAGTAAGACACAGGAGAGAAGGGGATGGAAGGAGGGAAGAAAGGATACACACCTCTTCAGTTTCTCAAAGAGGAGTGGGCTTAACGTGTTTCTTTCATAATTATGCTTATTGAAATGTGTATTTAAAATATTTCATACTGGATTCACTATAAAACGTTTTCTAAATAAAGAAGTGTGTATATTCCATTTTATCTGTTGTTTAGGAACGAAGAATGGATAAACACTAGCTTTATGAAATTTAAATTAGACCCATAAAATAACAAAAATGGTTCCGGGAAGATAAAGCAATGATGAACACTTGCCAGTTTTTTCCCCAGGCATTGATTCTGAGCCCAGCCACACACACACACACACACACACACACACACACACACACACGATGTCAGTCATGATAGTCCATACCTGTAGTCTTCTCTGCTTGGGAAGCTGAGGCAGGAAGATACTTTGAGCCTAGGATTTGAGGTCAGCCTGAACAACATAATAAAATTCCATCTCAAGTAATTTTTTATGAGACAGGTTCTCATGTAGTCCAGGCTGGCCTCTAACTTGCTGTGTAGCCAAGGAGGACCCTCAAGTTCTGATCTTCCTGCCTTCGCTTCCCCAATGCTGGGATTATAAGTATGCACTACACCTAGTTTATGCAGTGTTGGTGATCAAACCCAGAACTTGGTGCACTCTAGATAAGCACTCACCAACTGAACACTGACTCTCAAATAATCTTCAAAGGCAAATAAAAAAAAGCAATGTCCATGTTCAGATAGTTTTTATTTTATTTATTATTCTCTGAAGACACAAGTGAGCATTAACACCCAAGATAGAAATGACCATGGGAACAACTATTGTTCCAAAGTTTTTCAAGGAGAGTTGTGAGAGGATTGTCTTACTTTTCTGTTGTGATTAAAAAAAATACTCGGACAAAACTAACTTTAGGGGTTAGAGAGATGGCTCAGCAGTTAAGAGCACTGGCTGCTCTTGCAGAGGACCTAAGATTGGTTCCCTGTATCTACATGGCGGCTCAAAACTGTAACTCCAATAAGGGATCTGACACCCTCCTCTGGACTCTAAGGACACAAGGCACACACTGGTGTATATACATATGTACATGGGGGCAAAACACTCATAAATATAAATCTTTTTTTAAAACAACTTAAAGGACAAGGGGTTTGTTTTGGATTACAGTTCCTGAAGGATAGTCTATCGTAGGGAAGACACAACAGAAGGCAGGGAAGGTCTGGTGGCAGGAGAGGGAAGCTGACTGGGCACACTGTATCCGTGGAGAGAGCAACGAGTGCTAAGCTCCCTTTCTCCACTCGTGTAGCCCAGAGAATGGTGACACCCACAGTGGGCAAGCCTTCCTACCTCATTGCCTGTTTCAATGGCCCTTCTCTTGAGAGGAACACAGGATACTCCCAGGGTACTTAAACAGCCCTGCAATTATACACAGTCTTTGCTGGGAAGACCCTGACCACCTCCATCCTTCTCCAAGAATACAAGGATATTACATTTATGACAGCATCTATGGACACACTTATGAAGGACATAAAAATCAATGTCTTTTACTCCTTTCTTGGGTTCTCAGGGGATTATATTCTTTGATCACAAATTTTACTTAAACACATTTATCCTATTACTAGCAAATTATGTGTGTGAGCTTCTAATGCAAGAAACCAGCTTCTGGTCCCTGCACTATTGCCACCAGAGCAAGACTGCCATTAGAGCACTTCCAGCCATTCTCTGGCTTCTTCTGGAAACAGAAGCTTTCATAGCCCTGAACTTGCGACCCTTTATACCCAGATACACACTATCCCTTGGCCATGGGGCAGCAGCAATAGCTCCACATGAACAAGATAGCCTCCTACAGCTTGAAGCCAAAGCTGGGCTGTCTAGTATATTTGACCTGAAGCTAGGAGTAGTCTTCCTATCTTCTGTCCCTTGCCAGATGGTGTGGTACTGGAGAGGTCACCCCTCCCTTAAATGCCTGGGGATCAACTGAGTGAACATCCATGATTGCGTATTCACTTTACAGATATCGCTGCCACCATCATAGTTGTTGGAGCTCAGTGTTATCTTCTCGCTCACCATCATATCCTCAATAAAAATGAGACACAAAGGTCAGCACAATTGGCCAAACTCCAGGTAGTCACCTTAGCACTTGATGCCTGTCTTAGTCCATTCAGCCTGCTATGTAATACAGGACTGCAAACTTGGTCATTCATAAACAAATTTATTTCTCACGGTTCTAGAGATTGGGAAGTTCTGGCTCCTTGTTGTGTTCTCTCGGAGAATCAAGAATCTCTTTGATTACCAGGACCCTAATCCCATCCATAAGGACTTTGTCCAGATTACCTAATCATCACCCAAATCTCCATCTCCAAATGCCATTAACTTCAGACTCAGGGTCTCAAAATGTGAATTTGGGATTAGAGAAAATACAAACTTTGGAACCATGGCAAAGCCCCAGCCAACAAATGTCCACATCTGAATATTTTTTCAGAAACTTATTGGTCATGGTCTGAGTTATCCCTTTTAGAGTAAAGAGCTCAGGTCATCTCTTGCCTTGAAGATGCCTAAACTATAAGCCTCTTGGGAGGCTGAAGTGAGTTGACTGCAAGTTTGAGGTTAACCTAGGATACATAAGGAGTTCAAGGCTAGCCTGGGCAAGACCCTGTCTCAAAACAGAATAACAGGGACAGGAGAGATGGCTTGGTGGTTAAGGGTACTTGCTGCTTTTTCAGAGGACACAGATTCAGTTTCCAGTACACACATGACAGCTCACCAGCACCAGGCACAGATGTGGTACCACATACACACATGTGAGCAAAACATCCAGAAACATAAAATAAAAATAAATGAATCTTTTTAAAATGAACAAAAATAAAGTACCAAAAAACCCACAATACAGGACTCTTTGGGACTGGAGAGATGGCTCAGTGGTTAAGAGCACTGGCTGCTCTTGCAGAAGTCCCAAGTTCTGTTCCCAGCACCCATATGGCGGCTAACAAACGTCTGTAACTCCAGTTCTGGGTGATCTGATGCCCTCTTCTGTCCTCTGAGGGTACTGCACAACATGGGTGCACTTACATAGAATAAAAATAAATAAATAAATAAATAAATAAATAAATACAGGACACTTGGAGCAAATAAACAAGCATTCAATGAAACTTTCACTTGTGGCCCAAGAAGTATATATGAACTCCTCAAAAAACTCCCATTTATGCAGGCATGGTGGCCCACAAAGAAGACAGAGAGAGGTAGATCTCTGTGAGTTCCAGGTCAGGAACGTCAAAGACCTTGTCTAAAAAAGACAAAAACAAACCAACTCCCATTTAAGTTATAAAGTGTCAAGTACACATTACTCTAATTTTCATACCTTCACACCCTTCACCCTACAGCCATCAATTAGCCATACCTCTGGGGACACATGATGCCACACAGCTCCCTGGATTATCTGCATAGGCCACAAAGGGAAACATCTCAAAAGTATATGTTTTTGAGCCCAACTTACCCTGTGTTCCTCCCCCATCTGGTTAAGCAACCTGCTCCTTAGAAGTCTCCATCATCATCAGACCTTAAATCAATATTGAGTTGTGAAAAGTTCATTGTTATAGTAGGCTTGAGGTTAAGCTCCAATACTTAGTATCACTTTGACATCTGGTTATATCAGGGGGGCCTTAAAGGGGTGAACTGCAAATTTTCCTTCTCCCAACTCCCATAGGTAAGGTGTCCTAGTCAAACATGTCTCCTTATCACAGGAGGAGGCCCAGTTTATCCCCAGGTCTTAGGCTTCAGTTCCTGACCAGACCATGAAACCATTCAAACAGTCCACTCTCACTCTTCTGTGGGAACCAGTTTATTCCACCCTAAAAATCTGCCTCCTACAGCCCCTGCTTTTTCATTCTGTTCTCAAGTGCAACCCTACTGTGGCACTGCATGGTGTACAGTGTCCCCCTCCCCTATGTTATAAGCATATGTGACTAATAGTAATTTGGTTCCATTCTTGGCTATCTAAACTAATGACTGGGACCCCAGGTGCGGTCCTCTTAGCAATGGGGTAAGAAATAAATAAAACACTTCTGTTGGGGGGGCGGGGCTGGAGAAATGGCTCAGCAGTTAAGAACACTGGCTGCTCTTAAAGAGGACCCAGATTTGGTTCTCAGCACCCACATGGCAGCTGACCACTGTAACTCCAGTTCCAAAGGAATCCAATGCCCTCTTCTGACTTCCTTGGGCATTCCATAACACAGGTACATTTATATAGATGCAGGCAATACACTCATACACAGAAAGTAAA